ATTTATGGGTTCAGATAAATTTTATGCGTCGTCTAGACTACAGAATTAAATATTTATTACTATTTCTTTATCTAGAATATTATCCAATGTTTATCAGAGAATATATTTGTTACAAATAAATTTAAGTATCGACTTCTAACATTTATTAATTAATTTGAAGCATTTTAGCAAGCAACTTTCGAACTTGCTACGTTGTAAATATTGAATTTAATTGAATGTAAATATTTCTACTAAAATATATTTATATCAGAAATATTGCTTACTAGTTGACCTGCGTAACTTCATCTCCATCAAATAAAATAATAATAACCTAAGAGAATTTATACAGCGCCATCTAGTCCCAAGCTAAGCAGAGTTTTTATAGTAAACAATAGATATATGAAATTCATTTTTTTGTAGATACAAACATATTATATCATACTTACTTGACATTTATCAATATATTCGCCCAATTTATATAATGTCTTTTGAACTTATAGCCTATGTGTTATTCTAATGTGTAAGCTATATTACTGTAGTTTTATCAAAATCCGTTCAGTAGTTTTGCGAAAGAGCAACAAACATCCATCCTGGAGGGATGGATGTTTGTATATCGATTCGATTATATGTTATATATATATATATAACCTAATCGAATTAGAAAAGAACATTTACGTTACTGTATGCCATTATTAACTTTATACATTAATTCTTAATAATTTAGTACTAGAACATTTCTCGCGTATACTAAATTCAAATATTTATAAAGTTTTTTTATTACAATGCTAATTACAGCGGAAATTTCAATTTCTTTTAATCCCCTGTTGGGCTTATTTCATCGTATAATTTTAGTCAAGTCTATCTTTCAGACCTGAAAAACATGCAAGTTTCTTACTCATTCTTCTTGTCATGAGTCTACGTTCCGAATGAGTGGTAGAATGAAAAAAATATGACTATTACAAAATGCTTATTTAAAAATTATTTGAATGAACTAAAAAGGTAAAACTAAACTCTATTCTCCCAAATTTGAATTTAAAAATAAATCTGTATTATTGTGAACACGAACAACATTTATTTTAAAAGAATAAGAGCTGAGTTTCTTGTCTGTTCTTCTCATCTCGAAATCATTCCGAACAGAATGGTACATTGAACATTTCCGTATAGATTTGACATATCATAAGAGTCTGTACTGTAGTGTAGTTCATGTAGAATACCTACATGAATGAAGATATTTTGAATTAGAATCTTAATTTAAAGATTATTTCTATTTCTAAGGACGTAGTTTGATTATCACAGGAATTATAAGGAAGACCGCGATCTATAATAGGAGAATACTAAACAGTATCACAAACGTTCCGCGGCTAATGTCGTGGTAGTACTAAATAGGGCTGCTACAAAAATAGAATGCCTACTGTGCGAGATTTTTACTTCTTATTTTTACAATTTTGTTATAAATTTCAAATTATAAAATTGTTCATTCATACACATACTTGACTTATTTATACTAAAGACTTGCATAAGCAAGTCGACTTTTTTGCATTAATACTTTTTTCTCCTACCGTCCAGTTTAGTATATCATTCAATTGAAAAATAGCCATGAAACTCAACTGATTTTGTTTTTTATTATGAAAAATTAAAACTAATTTGTTATTATGTACTTTTGCTAATTTCTTACTACTTACGTCTAATTTCAATAAAATTCCCGTATATTTAATAATTGGTATGAGATTTTGTACTACGGACAGTCAGTAATTTTTCCACTGCGGTCAAAATCACATAAAATCACTAAAAATTTGATACGATCTTGTGTAGACATTTTACTGTATCGTACGAGGTTAAATTCTTTTAAGTGACAACCCTGACATTAGATCGGCTTCCGATCTAGCGACACGTGCGACAGATCACGACGTCGTCGCACGACAAACGTGTATTGATGTCGGCGATTTTTTGTCGCTTTCCTTTCTTGCTTTTGTCGTGGTCGGCCACGAGAAGGGTTATTCATTTATTCACCAAAGAAAGGCTGTTTGACCGCGTGAGTACCTATTTCATAACTAGTGGTCGTCGAATAGTCGAAATTCGACCATAAAAAAATTCAATGATGAATGATAAGATTTTTCAAAAGCAATTTGAATATAATATTTTTATTCCTTCGAAGGCTTCTGAAAAACTATCATAAACTTGTATACACATATTAAAGCATTTTATTATACATATATTGTATTATAGTTCATGGAAATCTCTCCCCCAGAAGCCTGTTTGAATTTCTTGTATTTCGCTAGTAAAGCAAAATATACTGTACACATATAAAAAATAAATTATATTAACTAAGTAACGTCCTACATCTTTATCCTTACATAATATAAAAAAAGTAGTTTTCGTTGTCAGTTCGCTTAGATCTTTTAAACTACGCAACGGATTTTAATGCAATTTTCAGCAGTAGATAGAGTGATTCAAGAGGAAGGTTCATATGTATAATACATGTACACCCGGGCGAAGGCGGAGCGAGTAGTGCTGTATAAAGTAGTGTTAGGAAAAAAAAATATATTCCTCTCTCGTACATCTAGATTGTGAAATGAACTACCTGAGGAGGTTTTCTTGAGAGACTACAGCATGGGGTTTTTGAAGAAGAGTGTACTAAGGTTTCTTAAGCGTCACCAACGTGCACTAGACACCCCAGGTGTCTTAGGAGCCCATAGGTTGCAGTGACCGTTTACCATCAGATGGGCCATATGCTTTTTTGCCACTGTCGCAGTAAAAAACGCATTTTCTCATTCTCTATATTAAAGGAATACGAGTGTATGGTGAGTACATAACGAAATAATATACACTCGCCATGTGGCCATGGAATATGTTTTATTTGCAAAACAAATTTTCTCACAAGAATCCTCCAGGCTACGCACTATGCCCGCCTGACATGTTGGTTATTCATAAAAAATATTAAGGCGGAATTAAACCACAGAGAGTCATAATTACATACATGTACAACTGGCTAAACTTTAGAACTTTTGCATTGATTTTTAAATTCAAACTCGATCTAGACTTGAAGCAGAACCAAAGAGATTCATCATTTATCAGATTTGTGACAGACTCGACACATCGGCTCTGCGGCGAGATATTGCATCTCTGTGCATTTTCTACCGCATATATCACGGTGATTGTTCTGAGGAATTGTTCGGATTAATATCAGCTGCTGAGTTTCACCACCACCCGCCGGAAACTAAAATACAATCCTGAAAATATATATAATCTATAAAATAAAATACATCCAGATGGGATGAATGGTGGTCCTCCACAGTGCGGTTTTCTAGAAACTTTTGCCACGCACAACCTTGTGGAGCTTCCAGCAATGGTATTTCCGAAATGATACCATATTTTCAATATGGTATAAGCCTTCAAGAATAGAGCTTATTCATTCTTAAAAAGCCGGCAACGCAGTTGCAATGCCCCTGGTGTTACGGGTGCTTATGGGCAACTGTTTGTTACGTTTTCGCGTAAAACCTACCCAATGGATTTTGATGAAACTTTATAGTAATATAGCTTATACAGCAGAATAACACGTAGACTATAAATTTCATGCGGATTAAACCACGGGTACATCAATTTAATATATGGATTGTAGTTGTTGCTCCATACCATCTTTTGTTCTGTTCTTTTTGCCGTCTTAGTTCAAATCCGGCTTTATTTCGCAATAGCGTACAAAGTCGATCTATAATATTCCTTGTATGACGAGTTCATTCTTCTCGAATGTAGAAAATATATTTTATTTTTTTGCTAAGTGAAATTCACGCATATTGCTTTACGTCAAAGTCACATTTCCGCTGTGGATATTTTTTTACTTCCTTTATATGAAATGGAAGAAAAATGTTAATTAATTTTATTGAGACGAAATTTCCGCATTTTTTCTGCGTAATACAAAAATAAAAAATGTATAGATCTACTCATACCTCGACTTATATCTTATATATAAAATTCTTGTGTTACCATGTTAGTTACCATACTCCTCCGAAACGGCGCGACCGATTTTTATGAAATTTTATGTTATTACATGTTCAGTAGGTCTGAGAGTGGGTTACTATCTATTTTTCATACGCCTAAGTGTTTTTTTTTATTTTTGGACTGTTTTTTGTTTTTCATAATGTGATTTATTATAAAATACATACAACCCTAAATTTTGACCCTTCTATCACGATTTTTTAATAGTGATTTTAATTTATATGGCAAAACAACATTTGCGGGATCAGCATATTTATACTATGTCCAAAGCAAAAAAATATATTAATAGTAATAATATTACCTTCAGGACAATCATTCCAAATGGGGAAAGGCAGAGCCAACTATCGACACTGTTCACATCGACAGTTGTACTCATACTCCACATATAGATAGTAATATTTGAATTTAACGTAGTATGACTCGGACTAGTTACTTTGTTAACGGTGTTTCTATCAACTGAAGTATGGGCTCCACATAGGGGTGATATACCACAACAATTACGTTCAATTGACACTTTTAAGTTTGTATATATTTTAATTGTATTGGTATATCATATATAATATATGGTATATGCTATCTACTCGCGAACTCAATGTTTTTTTAATATTATACTCATCCTGCAGCTATAAAACTGAACGTTGAAACGTATCTTAATGAATGAACGAGTTCCAAGTCATATATAGTAGTAAAAGATTATATAGAAAGTGCTAAATGATACAAAGTGCCGAACACTGCTGCAATTAGTATGCGTCGAGTACAAACCGGTTGCTATGACAACGCGAGCACACCGCGTTAAACAAACTAATTGGCCGACGCTTTTATTGCCGGCTGTAGACACATAGTTTTATGAATGTAACATGAACGAGTGAATGACTAAAGTGTCGTAATTGAATGAATGAATATTTAATTTGCCACTCAATTATAATTTAAATTCGTTCGAAATTCGTTCGATGTTATTTGAGGTTGGTAATATGTATATTGAGTATTATCTGTGCAGTATTCTAAGTTTAAATTTTGTTTGTTCGCAGGCATGCTGAGATCTACTTACGACCGGCCAGATCACGAACGTAAGTTGCAATAATTATTAATGTTTATTCAAATAATTATACAGGTTATAAATGTGTCGTCTTTAAATAGTTTAAAACAATAACCTTACCTAATAATAAAACAACTATTATATTCTATAAAAGGTATCACCGCAATCTGATGAAATTGATATATAACTAACAAAGAAGGAAACTCTATCGATTGGAAAAAGTATAATCGAAATCGGTACTGATTTGAGTAAGGTATACGCATATAATAATATAGTCGACTTGAGAATCTCCCCCTTTAAAGTTGGTTACTATATAGATCTCTACACAGCCTAATAATTGAATACCCTTATTCAATTCGCCGGAACGAGTCACAATTCAAAATGCCTTGAATCCTTGACCGTCGTACAACATCCATCCTGAATAATTACAGTCCTACAGGCTCGCCGTCAACCGGCGAGTGTTCCCCATCACTGTTATGTTATATTATATCGAGGTATAACTATCAAGTACTGTCAATGGTGTATTACGACACTAGAGAAAGTGTACAATTGCGGTGTTATTGCCACACTTCGTTTAGTTTTCACGTAATAAAAACATTTTTATATTTTTGTGTATCTTAATCATCGTGATCATTCCATAAATTCAATGATATTTTGGAATAGTTTCTTAAATTTGGGTTTTAATTAATATTTTATGATTTGCGTATGTATGATTATAATATGATTTTACTATATAAAATATGCAGTATAAATGTAAAAATTCAATGATTTTTACTTTCGATGAAACAGACTTCAAACTGCGCAACAAATTTACAAATGACGACGTAAAAGTACTTAAAGTATGTTTGATTAAATATTACTTTTGTTCTATTCTTATATTTGCGTTAGTATATAAAGCTTAGAATCTGTTCGTTTAAACACGTTAATCTCTGAAACGCTGATTAATTTACTGACTGCTGGCTGCTGATTAAATGATTTCACCGTAATTTAAACAATAATCTCATTTGAAAATACGTAAAGAAGTCACTTGTTAGTTCTTCTACATACAAACTACTTTCTGAACTGATGGTAGATCTGAAAAATGTCTGTAATAACTTTTAGATAATTTTATTTGACACGTTAGAAATTGTGGGCGCTAATTTGGTGTATCACTTGTCTTTGTGCAATGTGTTATCTATTGCATTGCGTTGCATAATATCTCAATGGCGTTTCCCATCAATTTGCATTTCTCGATCGTACCACGACAGGAACTCACCGCATACTGTAGTAGGGGCATCGTTTATAAATAATTGCATGCTTGTGCCCCGCACGGCAGCGTTCACCGTTCGTCAAATAAATCAACGGTATTTGCATATGGGGTACCTGGGGCTCTGAAATGGCTACTTTACAGTAACAGGTTGCTAAAGCAATTCAATTTTATAAAAGAGTTCGCTATATATAGGTGAGTGTAAATCGGTAATAATAGTTGGAGTTTCTTTATTCTATTATTTAATTGAAGGCCTCGGTGGTCTAGCGGTTTAGCACGCCGCTTTACGTCCGATGGTCGCGGGTTCGATTCCTCGCACGGCACAATCATTTGTATTCATGATTGTTTGTATTAGTCTGGGTGCTTTCTATGTATATATTTACGAATATATTATGAAAGAAAAGAAAGAAAGAAAAACATATTAGTACCTATAACACCAACTTTAGGTAACTTGGGACTAGCAAGTTTGTTTTTAATGCTAGTACTAATGTTATGTGTATTGAATTGAAATGAATATTAAAAATAATAGTTCTAAAATTATTAATTTAAAAATAACAATTTCAATAGAGTTGATGGCGATCGGTTGCGATTACCACCACTTCTTGCCTTGGGACTAGATGGCGCTGTCTTAATTATACATGAACTATTATTATTTTGCATTCAAACTTCATCGGTGTACAATGCCACTTCGAATCTTGTATTACTGAGAGCACATACAACATCAATATAGCTATATAGCGAGTAAACTGCGTTTACCAATTGTTCCACCGGTGGTGGAAATAGATCGGAGTTCGATGTTTGCCACAAACCAAGTTTGTTCGTATAACTTATAGGTGCGGGAAATTAATTTCAGCCGCGTTGTAGAAATTGTACTTTAATATCCTAGTAGGTAGATAGTTGTGTATATGTCTCCTATAATAATAATAATTATGAACAATTCACACAGCGCCATCTAGTGCCAAGCTAAGCAAATCTGGCTTGTGTTATGTGTACTGGGTATATATTAACATAATGGGCTAGGAACATTCTAGAATAATGAACCTGTCAAACATTTAAAGATGTTTTTTTTATTTATTAATATTTTACGGCTCTGGATACAAGTCCTTTTTAATCCAACATAAAGTACAAAAACAAAAACAATCACAGTTTCTTCACAATGTTCCAATTCAGTGTAGTAATTCCTAAGTTTTATTTTCCGTACTACAAAGTCCATCGTCTTATAATAAGCAATTATTATGATCAAATTAAATGAAGTGAAATGAAATTAATTTATTTGCAGAATGCTTCTTTAGAATTCAGAATTTAAGATTTGAATTACAGAATTCTTTCTTTCTCTATTAGCTGATGATACGTACTAATATTCTTGGTTTAACTGCCCCAATGTCATCATCATCTTTTCATCCTTATCCCATAAATTTGGGGTCGGCGTAATATGTTTTTCGTTTCCATTCATATGTTGCAGTCATCGCGTTATAATAATTTTATATTAATATCATCTTTCACACATCCATAAAAATCTCTTTTTTGGCCTTCCTCTGCCCACATAACCATCCACATTCATTTGTAACATCTTTCTTAAAATATTATCCTCGTTCCTACGCATTACATGTCCATACCATGATAGGCGATTACTCTTCAATTCCTCTCTGACACCGGTGACGACTTTCATACTTCCTCTAATGAATTCATTCTTTATCTTATCCATTCTTGTCACACCACATTTCCACCTCAACATTCTCATTTCAGTTGCATGCAGTCGTCTTTCATCCGTCGCCTTTACGGGCCAGCATTTTGATCCATACAAGATAAGGCCGGATGGTCTTGTAAATTTTCTGTTTTAATATTGGAACACGTTTGTCACACGTCGTTGCCTATCAATATAAATGCCGCCACTTCATCCATCCAAAATAACGTTAATTTTATGCTTTATGGCCCTGTCTAATTCACCATTGCTTTGGAGGAGAGAACCTAGATCGGAAATCGGAGCAAATCGGTAATGGAGCACCATTTAGTGATATGGCTTTTGCAGAGCGGAAAGACCGCCAAAATCACAAACTGCCCCAATATATGGGCATGCAAATTTTTAATAAGTTACAATAAAAATAAATCTATACTGTCAGAATTTAAAATTAATATCTTGTGTCTTAATATAATAATTTTATATTAATAATAGCAATTATACAATATAAAAATGTCTATAATCATCACACATACTGTCTAATGTTGAAAGAGCAACTTTTTTTACCATTACTATAGTTTCACTGCCGTATCTCAACATCCATATTCCTCCTTAAAAGTCTGGCAACTTACATGCAATTAATTCCCCTAATGTTGCGAGTGCTGTCGACGACGGTAAACACTTACCAGCAGGTGTGCCGCAAGCTAGTTTGCTCCTTATGTCATAGCGAATAGAATTTAAAATCATTATATTAACACGTCAAATAAAAACTTTGTGCACCTTTTTACGAAAATTGCGCGGAGGAGTATGAAATTTTGCACACTTACCTATACATATAAATAAAATTGGAGTGTCTGTTTGTAATATTGAAATAACCGTTTGTTACTACATGCCTATCAATATAAATACGGTACGGTATACACCAAAATAACATTTTTTACAATTTTCGTCTGTCTGTCTGTCTGTCTGTTTGTTCCGGCTAATCTCTAAAATGGTTGGACCGATTCTGACGGGACTTTTTTGGCAGGTAGCTGCTGTAATAAAAGTAACTTAGGTTACTTTTATATTTCATATAAATTAAAATTAAAATCCACGCGGACGAAGTCGCTGTGCAGCTAAGGTTCTTAAATAAAATAATATTGCGACTATAACTGGGGAGAAATTCATATTAGATCAAATTGATTACTTGAATGAACGAACGAATTTGCAATGGTTCAGTAATAGTTGTTCATGCATCTATATAAATATACATTGTAAATATTTTTTATATAAAAAGATATCAATGATGAAGTTCTTCTCAAATATAACGATCTGGACGGTAGGGAAAAAATTATGATTAATGAAAGAAATTTTACGTTCATAACCACTAAAATGTGTCATACATTGAATAAAATATATTTTTGAATTTGAATTTGTACTACATAAGCAAAGATTTGTATAAATATTAGATTAAGATGGACAACCGTTAGAGCGACGGAGGAAATTATATTCTTTCATCGAGGAAATTGCAGTTTTTGTGGCGGCGAGATGTCGCAGATATACAGACCTACTGACAGACGTCATAAAACTTAGTTTAGACTTATATAAAGTATTATATACTAGCTGACCTGCGCAACTTCGTCTACAGCATTTACATTATATTTCGCCCAATTTGCATAATACATGTTTTTTAATTGATCTAATATATTTTTATGTATAATTTACAAAAAAACATCTGCCCTACCTGCTTATATAAACTATAATAATCATATTTTTTCGTATACGCAATGTTCCTAAGAAATGTACTACGTTTTTACTATATATAAATTATAGAATTCGACCATAAAATAAGATGTTATTTCACTAAAATCATACATATAATATTGTACAAGAAAACTGTCAAAACATAAGGAACGCAATGCAAAATAAATTACTTGAATTAAAATATACTGAGACATTTTTTATCAAAATTAATAAACAATCTTCTCAGAATTGATTCTGTAGATAAATTATCTATAGATATCTATAGATAATGCTTCCCATACACGAATATTAATATTAAACCAATAAATTACAACGCACCATAGTTCCAATATAAAGAATCGCTCTCCGTTCATTACGCACATTT